TGATGAGGACAGGGTGATATATGGAAGGGCTGAATTTCTATATTGTACACCGGAAACTAATATAACACTGCATGTTAACTAACTGAAATTAAGACAAAAACTTAAAAAAATAAGAACATTGTAATTTGTGTGGCCCATTAAGTCATAACATTGAACCCATGGATATGTTAATCCAAATCTGGCACGTGACTTGGTCAGCGATTCCATAATATTTACATGATCAATACAAAGTAAATGCAGCTGCCTGATTTTCTTCACATTTAGATCCAAAATGTGGGGAGGAAATGGAGGACCTGATTGTGATGGTGAAACAGCATAAATGTACCAAAGCAACCTTCAAATATAAAAGAAAAGAGAGTCTTTTTCATCATGATCAAGGGGGATTCCTCTTTACAGATCACAGAGGTCATATTATAAGAACAGAGAACGAAGTCTAGTACTTGGAGCTGCAGTAAGCAATCTTATATAATTGTATTTGTACGATTGCTGGTTTTGGTTTTTAACTTTTAGAATCAATCTATAAATGAGTCATAATTATAAAAATCTATGAAATAATGAGTTTTTTTATGATGTAGAAGTCGGAATTACAATAGCAAAGGCAGAGGACCTGAGAGGGGAAAGGACACTAAACTTCTTGTCTTTCTTGTCTCGTCAATGGAGACACTAAGTCGCAGTTTTCCATGGTTACTAGAACAGTAAATAGAGATTTAAGTATATTGGATGTTCCAGAGAAAGCCATTGAAAAGAGCAAGACCTGCTCTATTTGAATGTGAGTATTTGGGGAGGAATAGGGCCAGGTAAGTGAGGTCTGGTTTAATTGAGTCAAATTCATGTCTGTTGTAAAAGAAATCTGAGATAACACCTAAGCTTGGTAAGTCAAGACGTTATGACTTTAAAGATAAGGAAGATATTGACAAAAACTAACTGACCTCTACCCCAAATAATAGTAACATAAGTTATGGAGTCAACCACCAGAACTACTATTCTACAAATAGAAATGGTGCCAAGTGGTGCCCCATAAGGAGCAAAACAGGGATGAGGCAGGAAAGCCCTGCTTTTCCTCCTAAATCCTGGAAGCATAATGAGTCTTTAAACAGGTTGTTTCCTTTATAATATAGTGATTACAAAATAAAATAGTACAGCATTACTTTCAATTTCTACTAATACCATCCATGATGGTTTTATCCACATGAAGATGAAAGAAACTACTTTCTAAACACAATCCTCTCTAATTCTATCATTTTTATATAAGGAAATACTAGTAGCTCCTAAAAAAAAACAAACCAAAAAACAATTGTTATCCTTTCTAGAAATTGCATTGCTGAGTGTTTTCTATTCTTGAATGTCAATGCTGTTATTTGAAGGATTATATAAGGTAGTTTGGCTGACACTTTATAAAGAGCTGTTACTTCAGTTCCAAAACCAAGCAGAAAATATGTACAAACACACCTACCACCCTAAAATGTACCCTCTTGCCTATCATTTACATATTCAACAGATGCGAGTTTTATTTCTGATGAGATGCTCAATGCAATAAACTCACATTTAAAAGGCACTTGCCACTCCCTTGGCAAATGTGAAAGCACCTGGAGAAATTGCAGGCTTTTCGGAAGCCACCACCGCCATGGTGCAATGAACCCTACACCCACCTGAGCTATTAAGATTTCTTTCCATTGAGTGATCATCCATAACTATCGGCTGGGCCTTTTTTGACATTATAACGTACCCTTCTCATTAGTCATATTAAAGAAAGTAGAAGATGCAGCCCATCAAGGGACTGTTTCCAGATCTAGCTTCCAGCCAATGAAATCACATAGTGGCCAGGTCTCCATGAGTCCAAAAAATAGATATTGAAGGAAGGGTTTGTTTTATCCAGACAGTGTGGTATTGGGACAATTTTCTTTCCGCATAAAGTACTTTGTGGATATTGTTCTGCCGGGCATTATAAAGTCAAGAAGGCACAGCTCTTCCTGCTCCTAAGGCTGGCTGAATTCAAAGCTCAGACCTCTCAACCTGTTGGCAACATTACATAAAGGAGTAAGAAACTCTTTGAAAGGGGGCTATGGCCCTGCAGAGTCCCTCCCAGGTGTCAGGAAGCACACTTTTTTTTTTAAATTAATTTATTTTTTTTGATGTAGTGTTCCATGATTCATTGTTTGCGTATAACACCCAGTGCTCCATTCAATACGTGCCCTCTTTAATACCCATCACCAGGCTAACCCATTCCCCCACCCCCTTCCCTTCTAGAACCCTCAGTTTGTTTCCTGGAGTCCATAGTCTCTCATGGTTCGTCTCCCCCTCCGATTTCCCCCCCTTCATTTTTCCCTTCCTACTATTTTCTTTTTTTTTTTTTT